GCCCATTAATCATTCAAATTACCCATACATCATCATTACCCACAGTTCTTGCAGTGCTTCTCTGTGGCACCTTTCTGTCTACATCAAAATGAATCTCATCCTCAACCTCAAACCAACAAAATAAAGAAGGAGGAAAGAAAAATTTCTGAAATTATTCAATGAGGGCGGTCTCAATTAGTTTTAGGCGTTTTTCATGGTCAGGTAGAAGGAAGGTCTTTCGGTTACCTGTTTTTTTGGCCTGGCCAAGTGGAAACTCTTAGACAGTGTGGCGGCAGCGGCGTCTATACAATTTTCCACGAATTGCACTAAGCTGCTAAAAGATGGATGGACTCTGACCAAGCGGATGGACCCGACATGGACCCGAGAGGGCCAGAATAAACGGTGCAGAATCCTATTGGGAAAAAAATCCTTAGTATTCTTTGCACTGTCTCTGTCCCTGCTTGACTATTATCACCTTAATAAATTACTCTTCCAAAACAGCAAGTATCATGCAAATCAAGTCCCCAGAGCGTGGACTCTCCTCAAGTGCGGCTAGTCGTGTAATTCCATATGGAAGTCCCATTGTCTCACTTTCAACGCTAAAGAGCGTTAACTAACCGCAGCGAATGATCAAATATCGAAAATCAATGCCGTAACCATTGTCACCCATAATTAAAATCCACAAAAACCCAAATGCCGCTACTCGAGCGAACGATGGAACCACCATTGAGGGGAAACATGAGGTGGTGTCGCATTCGTCTTTAAAAGGATGTCGCCCGACGGGGCAGAAGGCAGTCAGTCGAGCGGGTCGGGACTGCGGTTGCTGGGAATTCTCTCACGAGTGCCACTCCAGCAGTGGCAGGGGCAGGGGCAGGGGCAGGGGCAGTGGTAGTGATAAGGATATGGGATACAAATTGGAAACACATTTAAATGCCGCACTGCCACTAAAACAAAGTCCCATCCGAGGCAAAAGAAGTTACTTTGTTACTGCCACAGCCAGAGGCAGAGCCAGAAGGGGCGGCAGCGACAGCCCTTACCTTTCCCTACCCCTCTGCAGAGCGGCCTTCCTCCTTGGGCTGTCGGGATTTCCAAGGGGTCGGTCGACCGCAGCTTCCGAAACCTATTTGGGTTAGTTTTCGAGTTTTCTGTTATTGTCGCCGTTCGCTCGTCTCAATGTCAACTGTAAAAATTTCTCAAGCGTAACAAGAAATAAGTTACATGACTTCCAAAACGGAAGTTGGACACCCCAATGGCAAAGGCAATGCCAATGCAGGAATACTCGTACATTCGCATTCGTATCTGTATCTTTTCAGGGTTCGGTTAACCCTGCATTCAACATTTATCTGGTCGGGTCGGGGTTTTTGGTTGTAGTCAGTCCACTTCTTGTAGCAACTTGATTCTTAATTATTGCATTTATGCTGTGCCGACAAATTTGTGGTAATTGAATATTTTGAGCCTCAGTGCTCCTTGAGTTCCAGTCTGGTTTCGGACTGGATTGTTAGGGGCCTGGCTCTGGCGCTGGTCGAGTGATGAAGTCAATGTGCAATTGCCATTTGGTTTGGGACTCAACCACCTTTGTCTCTCTCGGAGTTCATAATTAGTCCGTTGAGTTATAGTTTACTTGGGGTTAGAACTTGTTATCTTCGCTTAGATGGGATTTTTGGGTGATTTTTCTCGACCACCCCGGGGTGCTGGTTATAACCAGATTATGCTTGTCAAAGTCCTAGACTCTCGGACTGACTTTCCAGAGTGGGTTAATAAGGTTATTGAAGAGTTCTCTGGTTAAAGTTTACATACAGTTCAAAAGGCTTTTTGAACGTCTATAAACGGGATGGTAACTCTATCCCTAACCCTCTTCTTTTTTTTTTTGGGGAAAAATCTTACAAATTATTTTCAAATTAATTTACTCTTAGGAAGGTAGGTAAAATTCATTACGAATTCAAATTGTATCTTTTGCTTTAATTGGTTTACTTGTTTGCTATTATTTCAGAGCCCATTTCGCCTCAGGGGCAGGACACAGTTACCATTTCCCGAATCCCAGACTGCCTCACTGCCATTCTCGTGTCGCATTCTCGTGTCAATATTTTCTATCGAGAGTCGTCTGTTGGCTGGAGGGTACAGAGCAGTATGAAAACAAACATGCCTAAAATAACAAATTAGCATAGACCAGTGGGACTGCCAGAGAGTGATGGCAGAGGACGGTAAGACTACAGACTACTAAAACAACAAACACGAGTACTCAGAGAGCCCTAGTGCCTGGGGATGGGCTGACGGTGCAAGCTACCAATTTGGTACACTCACTCGAGAGATCGAGGCCCACTCGTTGGTTGGCTCAAAAGTTACATCAATCACCATCAACACTCCACCAGGCACTCGCGCTCATCGACATCTCGACATCGTACTCAAAATGGCGCGTTTGGGTGTTAATGATGCCGACTTTGAAATTTTACCGACGCGCCCATAAGAGTTTTTTTGCAAAAACTAAATAAGGCAAGTGTCGTTTTCATCATCATCATCGTCAGCGGCATCAGCGTCAGCGACGGGTCACATTCGTCATTGGCAAACAAATGATGGGGACGACGACGCTGACAGATACTTTATGTATATTTTCTTCTTTTTAGCACCGATGTTGAATGATGTGCGAACAAGTTGTAATTATTTCGCATTAAGCCAAGGAACCAAACCGAAAGGAATGGAGCACAGTGGTGATGCTGAAGCCATGGCCCTTGGAAGACCCCAAAGATGTCAATGATGGATGCAGCTCTGGCAAACAGAAACCGAGACCGAGTTAAATAATGACCTTAAAGAATGGGTTGAATACATTCTGTAAGGAATTAATGAATGAATGAAGTATTCTCAAGGCAAAAGATACGCAAATAAACTGATTTGTCATATGAAATATCGAAAGAAATTATCCTTAAATTGAACCAAAAACCAGGTCATTAAGGGACTTGATGGAAATGATTATGTGAAAGTTCCACCACCCTCTAGGCTGGCATTTTCTTTTATCGGGGGGAGAAATCAAACTGCTGCCTGCTGCTGTTGCTGCCACATTTTGTTGCATTTAATTAAGCAAATGCTACCAGTTGATGTTGATGTTGAAGTTTCCCACGTTACGCACTCGTATTCGTATTCCGAAAAGCAGCCTACCACCTACCGCCTACCAAAAAGTCGTTAGTGGAATGTTGCGCCCCCCTCCCGTGCGTCTCGATTTACAGATACTTCCGCATTCTGTCACCGGAAAGGTAAATCACAAGCTGACCACGCAACAAGCGGAATTTTTCATAAGTATTTTCCAACATTTTTACCTTTTTTGGGGGTGAAAATGTGGAATTGGAAAAACGGCGCAGCAACAACCCCCAAAAGGAGGTAGCCACCGCGAGGTAGCGACTCCTCCCCAAGCAAACATTTAATTGCATTCGATATGCGCTTTAGGTGAAAATTTCCCACGATTCCCACGATTTTCGTTTAAGATTTTAATATTTTCTCCTTAAAGGTAAGTAGCTCACGGTCCAGATCATTTGATAAAAAAAGCTGCTGCTGCTGATAATGCTGTTAGAGATGATGTTGATGATGGTGGTGGTGTGGTGGTGGTGGTGTAAGACTCATCATCTCTCCTCCTTCGTGGACTCGTCATCGTTATAATCAACATTTATGGCCGCTGATTGTTTTCGCGACTGACCAGAGAAGGGGTAGGATCGCGTTTCGATGTTGGGGTGGTATATGGTTGGCTTGGGTATCTCAAGAAAGATAGATCGTAGACCCTCTCTCAAAAAGCGTAGTCTGAGATTTGTGTGACTCATAACGAGTTTCGTTTCGACCCGCTTGGACCTTAAGTGGATAGCGGAACGTATTGTTGTAGCGCCACCCTGATCCGTTGCCTGCCACAGCTGCCGCATTGTTCGCTCTTGGACAGTCCAGTCTTCAGTCCTTCTCAATCCCTTACTCTTTCCATAATCCTGTTTCCAGAGAGGACTTCGCAGGGCCTTCGGTTACGGCGGCTTATCAGAAGGCCAGGCCAGGAAAACGAGAGGTAAAGTATACTTTATGTAAATTTTATGTTATAGTTACTTTTTTTTGCCCCCTCCCCTTCCCGTAATCCAGTTTAAATCGATGAGCGAGTATCTTATTAAAGCACCCGGAGGGATGTCATCGAAAGAGGGCTCTTACGATCAAAGATCTTATGCCCTCTATGGCTAAATATACATACGAAATATGGTAAATAGGAAGATCTTTCCCTCAAGGATGTTCTGGACCCTGGGTAATCCATATTTGTACATTCATCAAAATTATTACCAAATTTATTGTAATTATGTTACCGGTTTTCAGATTTTCTAAGCAAATATTGAAAGTAGTTTACATAATTTCACCGAGAATGTTGACTGTTTACCAACCGCGTACTTCATACATTTTTGCACTGCTGCTGAATCAGATGTTCCGCAAAGCAGACCCTGTGTGTCTCGTGTCCATCCCACAATTGTGAGACACGTTGCACCGTCAATTCATCCCTATTTGTATCACTTTTCGGTACTTCCGCCCATTGTGTCTGCCACTGGCGGCACATGCCACACAGCTCCGTTCGAGTGCACAAGACAATGGGAAAGAAATTTCCTACAAAATCAAATAATAACACGATTTACAATAATACTTCGACGATTACTCGAAGCAAAAACTAAGCAATCGCCCAAATGTGGTCGCGAGGAGACTTGCAAGCACCAGACTCCTGCGAAGGCTTGATAATATTCACCCAGCGGACTTGCCCAACAGGAGGTTCCAAGTCGGACCCCAACCCCACGAGAACCAGATTGTTTTTAGTTTTTGTATATCTGTTTATTTTTGAATAATTGTTATGTTAATTGTACAAATTTATTTGATATTGGGTGATGCACAAAATTTGTAAGTACATCATTTTATAATAATTAAATTTTGTTTATATCTTAAAATAAACAACAAAATACTTTATTGGAGTGGATATTAAAATTCAAAAAATTTAAATTAATTTGTAAACCCCGTTTGTTAAAACTTTAAAGTTTTCTTATAATAAGGTACACTCAGGATGGTTGGAATACTGAAACGACAGGGCCAGAACACGCTCGTGCAATATCATATAACAGAAAAAGATGATGACACTAAGAAAGAGATACTCGTGCTTCGGGACATTGAACTGGCGATCGTGTACTATGGTGGCCGTGTATATAATCATTGAAATGGCAAACATGGCAAAGTAATTCCGAACGGCTACCTCAACGCCATCGGCTCCAGTGACATAGGCATTGAAAAAGAACACGATCAACATTATGTTGGCGCAGGCCACAAAGACGCTGAGCACCAGGTCGCCGGGAACAATATACATGGGAAAGTAGGCTCCCCAAAAGATGGAGCACAGCACAACGGCGACAACGATGACTAAAACATAAAAATCGGCCAGATGATTCTGATTGAATGACTGCTCCAGGGCTATGTACCATGTACAGCTCTCCACAATGCCAAATATAATGGCAATATTAATGGGATACTTTCTTCCAAAATCGGTCCATGCCAGAGTGGCTATGGCAAAGAAGGTGCACACCAGCCACCAGCCGTATCGACTTCTGGATAGCGAATCAACATGATAGTCTAACGCTGCAATTATGATCCATTGGGCAAGGCCAATCACAGCGAAAAGAAAGCCCAGTCCATAGATGCGATGGGTATAGGTGATCATCGGATCGGGTGGCATGCCGTATACCAGCGTATCTCTTTTATCCATATTTCTACAGTTATAATATTTTGGAGATGATTTGAATTTTATTTCATGACTTTCCTTAATGAAATAAAATACATTTATATATATATTTGTGATCTCTCTTATTTATAGTACAGATAGTAATATCTAAAAGAAGCCAAACAGAGGACCATTATGATAAAGTATATGAAGATTCCCAAAGAACAACCCAGAGTATCGGGCAGGGGCGAGTATTGCAGACGTCCATTAATGTACTGCGAAGAAAAGGGTATCATCAAGACGACTAAAAAGAACAGAACTGTGGCAAAGATTAGTCCATAAATTCGATCGCCTAGGACCAACATCAGGATGGCAAGTATAATGAGTGTGAGGAAGCACAGTAGATATATACAGCCTGTGCACACGGCATTGGGCAATACAGACGAAGGGCAATGTGCCCCGCATAAATGGAGAATCACCAACAGTACGGCCGCAATCAAAACAGACAGCAGTAATGCCTCAATGATGACAGAGTAGATAAAGTAGCATCCGAATAGAGTCAGGAATATCACCACGGACAGCACCAGTATCCAGTTGCATGGGAACGAGTATCGCGTCTGGGGACAGCAGGACAATATCGTCTGGCACGTAAACGCAATCAATATCCACACAATAGGATGCACTGGGCACTTTTCGCCCACGTCATATTCCGTGGCCGATACAATGATCCAGGGTATCATCGACAGAACACAGAAGACGGCAGCAAAGAAATATACATGACGCCGGAATACAGTCATAATTGCTGGATCGATGATAATTACCACATTCTCCTCTTGCGGTCGTTCTGGCCTTCCGATTTGGTAGCGATATTCATTTTGATTATAAATATTTGCCATTGATGTTACTGCTGCTGTTTTATCGACAAACTTTCAATATACTAATAATTTTGGAATTGACATAAAAGCCCTGGATCCATAGAATTACAGAAGGGAATATAAATCAGAAAGGTTTTGAACTAGATGTTCCGATTTATTCAGATCAGGGATCCCTATCACAGGGACTAGACTTCTTCAGAGGTAACTCCATTTTCAGGATATTCAGAATATCACCTGTATTTGAGAGCTCCTATGTTTCATCTACGACTATCTTCGTCTTCAATCGTTGGCGTCATTTCAGTTGAAACGGTTTCATGCCGCTCCGTCCGAACAGTAAAATACATGAGGCAACAGAAGAACATGACGGATGTGAGGTAAAGCGTTAGAATGCTGACCATTTGATGGATACGTGGAACCACTTGAAAGTACTCTATCCGTCCGTGGCAGAACTGCGCCTGAATTGGTATTGCCACGATCAGCATGATGAACAGAATGCTAACAAAAGCATCCAGCACCTCTATGCTGCCAGTGCACAGCTGAACGGTACCCAGGATTATGAGAGCTACGGTCATGGCCATCATGAAGCCACTAGAGACGACTCCACCCGGCAGGTATTCCACCGGACACATGGCACCCGAAAAGTTAAGCACTAGGACGAGCACAAGAGAGAGAGCGAGTAGAAGCAGCAGGGTCAGGATACTGAAGAAGTGGAGGACGCAACAGACAGCCACAGTTGTACAGAGCCAAACGACAAGAGCCCACATCCAGTTGCAGAGCGTCACATGGGCGATCATGGGCACACAATGCAGCAGCATCATCACAAGGAACACGATTATCACGAGTATGTAGAACGGAAACGGTATGTGCAAATAGATATCCTTTCCATCGCAGCTGGCAACCACAATCCAAACGAGCACGGAAGCGGCTATCAAGGGTATACCGTAGTTGTAGAGATTTGAGATGAACTTGGACATGGCCTCCTCCTCCTCAGAGCGATAGAGCATGCTCCGCCTCGTAAGTCGCGTCGAACGTCTATCTTCTTCTATCTCTGCGGGCATTTTAATGTTTTATCGTACAGGTTTACTATTATATCGATGACAAATAAAACTTGGATATACTGAAAACGAGCTGGAACGTTGGGAGACGCGACAAGGGCCACGGCTCTACTTTTTTACACGGTACTCAGTTGGTATATATTGGAGGTATGATTTATGCAATATTGTCAATATTTTTCAAAAGTAATTACGCGTAAGCCTTGGTATCGGAACCGATAAATGCCTCTCGGTCTTTTGGTATCGCTGTTTGCAAAAGAGAGGATTTGATTTGTTGGTTAGCTCGGGGAAAACGAAGAACCACGAACACTAGTTATGTTTTAATTATAATTAAAGCATTTCGGGTATACTCTTTTAATTTTTTCTGTTTTGTATTGAGCTCACATCAATACATGCCGTCATATCTGGCTCCCCTTCGCCAAAGGGGGCACCAGGCGTAGAATACGAGTAAGCGCGTGGAAGGAGTAGCGTAGCCACTGAGATTTTATTTACTTCTTCGGGCTATACTATTGATTATGCGTTTACGGATGTGGATGTAGATGCCACAGAGGGGGCGCTATTTTGTATCATAGGTATCAAAGGACTCTGCACACAAACTTTGGTTGCTCTAGCTCTTATAGTCTTTAAGACAGACGAACGGAAAGACATATCGACTTGGCTATTGCTACAGTTCAGGAATATATGTATATATATTTACTTTATGCGGTCTGGGTATGCACATTCACCACAAAACTAATATACATATTCCTAAACTCTTCGAGTATCAGTTATAAAAATTAAAAATAATAAAAATGCTCTTTCATAATATTTTAGATATATTCATATTAGATGCAATTATTAATAGACAAGGCCCCACTTTACATTGTTACAGGCTTATGTATTGGTTCCCCTAGAGGTGCGACCATTATTTTCCACTACAACATTTCCAGTATCCTGATCAGATTTCGAAGCAGGTAGCTTATTGGTAGCAGAGTTCCCTGGTTGCATGTTTGGATTCTTTTGTTGATTCTTTTCTTCAGTTTTCTTCTTGGCAATGTCCAGAAATACATCTTCCAGCGACGGCTGCGTCAGAGAGTAGTCTGCCAACTTCCAGGGGCTGCGGTTCCTCTCAACGTATGAGAATACACTCGACCATCTATGCTTGGCAGTGGGTATGTGGTAAGTGAGCCTGCCACCAAACTCTTCCCTGAATAAGCAATTATTAAGAGTGCGTTTGGTTGGTTTGAATGGAACTTACTCTAGCGATGCCTTGGGATAGTCTAATTCCATTTGATTCTTTATCTTCTGTATAGTGGGCGCCATGCTGTGTGGGTGGGTTTGAGAGTTATCTCTATACGGCATGGAATACACCTAAAGGGTCACCTTTCCAGACTCGTCTCCACATGCAACTTGAGCACCAGACATTGGGCAAACTTATTCTTGATGCGCTGCTGCGATCCCAGGCAATGAATTTGCCCATCCACCATAATAGCCAATTCCGTGCACAGGGCCTCCACCTCCTCCATGCTATGAGAGCTAAGTAGCACCGCCTTCCCACTGTCGCGCAGTGAGGAGAGGACATTCCACACATGGCGCCGGGACGCCGGATCGATCCCAGAGCTAGGCTCGTCCAAACAAATGAGCGACGAGCCCTCACCGGCCACTGCTGCATTTAACTTTCGCTTAGTGCCGCCACTGTAATCCTTGACCTTGTTGTCCAGGTGCACAAGAAACCCATAGTCGGAGGCCAACTTTTCGGAAGCTTTTCTGAGGAGATTCCGGGGTGTGCCGCGCAACAAAAGGAAGATTTTGAGTGTTTGCCGGCCAGTGCAGAAGTCGAAGAGCGTGTCGTGCTGTGGGCAGTAGCCCATCTCCTTTCTCGCTGCCGTGGGGTTGGATTTTATGCTGAAGCCTTTGACGTGAATACTCCCCCTCGTCATGGCAATGTCGCCCACAATCATCTTAAAGGTAGTCGTTTTACCGGCCCCATTGGCGCCCAGAAGACCAAAGCACACACCCCTGCAGTAAATTAGGAATTTATTAGTTGTTGTTATAGTTATATAAGTTGTAGTTATTGCTGCACTTTAATCACTACTCACGGTTTGATAGAGAAAGATATTCCACGTACAGCTGACGTGCGGCAGAATCTTTTCGAGACCTGGTTCACGACCAAAGCATGCTCGTTGCGATCCTTGATCGACATTTTACTTATCCTTTCGGCTGCAGCAGCCACATCTTCATCGTAGCTTGTTGCATTCTTTGTTCTTTTACAAATAATATACTTTATGCCATACCACAACGTGGTTGTGCATTCGCCGAAAATCAGCAACAACAAGTACATAATACCAGTGATAAGCAAATACCACACCTCCACCCAAGACCAAATGTCTGTAAGAAATTTGTTTAGCATATATACGGGTGAGTCGGTAATGCCTTGAAAATTTAGACAACTTGTAGTCGTAAATTAATTTAATGTATGGGCATTCCCATGATTTCCCACTGTACTATTGGCCTTTACTAATCTTATATCTATCTTGGTGCCAAAAGTTGATTTTGGGAAAAATTACCGTTTTCCAGATAAAAAAGTAATAAAAAACAAGCCATTCGCACGCGATAAAAATCAAAACGCATTGCTAGAATAAGGGCTAGAGTAACGATATTTTGTATCCAGACTGCTGTGATATCACATTGAATCAAGTTTGTTTTAAATTTGTCCGCGCCATTTTACGCCCCGACAAAAGACGAAAATCTTTGGCATCCACAATTTTGAAGATACTAGAAAACCAACTGCGTTTTCAGTTTTCTTGTCTCTTTGAAATTGTGGATGCTACATTTTTTTGCCCTTTGTGTGGGCGGAAGGGGGCAGGGCAAAGTTTTTAAATATTCTTGTAACAGTGACATATCACAGAAGTCCGGATATAAAATGTCGTTGCTCTAGCTCTTATAGCCTTTGAGCACTATGTGCTGATAGGGACGGACAGATGGACGGACGGACGGACGGACAGACAGGGCTCAATTGACTCGGCTATTGATGCTGATCAAGAAAATATATACTTTATGGGGTCGGAAACGATTCCTTCTGGACGTTACACACATCCATTTTCACCACATATCTAATATACCCTACTCATTTTGAGTATCGGGTATAAAAATAACTATAAAATATAGAAAATTACTGCACAATAAAAGTTTTTTTCAGTTAATTTAATAAAAAATAGTCGGTAGAAAATTATATGGAAATGCCCATTTAGGTATTATGAATCTGATTCCGAATCGGATTTTAATTAACTTACTAAAAACATGCGTGAGTGTGTTTCAAAAGTGTGTATCTAGCAACTTACCACGGCAAGCGCAAGTGGTAAACAATGCGGATTTTATGGGAGTACATTCCGCAAATGGAAAATTATTTGATTTAAGCACAGGAGAACTGCAATGTTTAAACCTTATAATGCAGTTTGCGACCGCATAAACAGCAGTAAAAACAGGACACAAGTAAGCAATCCATGCAATCACATTAAAAGTTAGTGCATAAGAAGTTGCCGCAAACAATGGCATCATTATCGAAAAACCTATACCTACGGGATCGGGAAGGGGGTTGGGTGTTAGAATAAAATGCTTCTTCGGAGACTGAAGTTACAAAATACTACCGAATACAATGTTGATGTTGGTAATTATCATCACGGCCGAGCCGGAATCTCCGAAAAGGCATGCCAGCATGTAGGTAAAGGGCAGACCCGCCACTCCAATGATCATGAGTATCAACAGCATCTCCCCGGGTTTGCACACTTCCCGCACCGCCAATGTCAGTGCCATCACAATTACAAAGTAGACGGCCAAGTCAGTAATAAAGTGGGACAGCCAGTAGGTGGTCATGTCCACGCCGGACACCTGTTGCTGCATACGAATCTGAGTTCCCTTCTCCTGCGACACTAAGATGGCGAATAGCGCCAGGACAATGCACAGATATATAATAATAAAACCACCCGCGACGACAGGCTTCGCCATTTCTTCAAAAGACGGTTCTTCAGTCGGCATATCGTAGGGAGCATTGGTTACCTCTATGCTCGCCTCGGGACCCACCATCGCCTTGGCCATGGCGTTGAACACGAGGTTGAGCGAAATAGGAGCACTATGCACGAAGAGATCATTTCTACTCAAGACGACCGTCTCTTGGTCGATGGTGGCTGCCGCTATAAGACTGTTCTTCATTGCGTATATCCTCTCGAGCGTTTCTTGTCCAGGGCCGATGTAGTCTTCTACATTCTGGCTTGTTCTTTCGACGGTGCAGTATTGCTGGGCCAACTCTTGGTAGGCATTGGCTATATCCCGCAATGGGCGAGTGTCCGATTTCAATTGCAATATTACTTTGACGTCCTCACTTTTATAATCGGCTATTGTTAGCGGTAGCCTGGCCAGCCATGAGCTATCCGATGACCTACGAAGAAGAGTCACGATGTATAGGACTATGGGCACCAGCAGGATAACCAGAAACATCCATTTCCTATCATAAGTGTAGAGAAACTTCTTCAGCAGCATAGCCTCCCATTGGCTCAGGTAGCGCAAGCAACGGTTTGGATGACGGCTTTGTTCCTGGCTTTGGCTCTGCTCATCCGAACTGCCGCCGCCGCTAGTGCGACCCCCACTCCCAAGATCTTCCGCACCGTGCGACATAAATATTTCTGCCAGACTGGTGGAGCTAAGACCAAATCCCACAACATCCAGCTGCTCCTTCTGCTGCTCCAAGTCTTTGAAGAGTGGCCCAAAGGATCCTAAAAAGCGGTGCGGCAATCGATAGGACACGTCAGATCCGATGTTGCTATGTGGACGAGTGTAGGGCACGTGGGCGGCTATCAGTTGGGTCAACCTGGACACGTTGCAATTGGGGCCCTTCTCGCAAGTGAGCAGATAACTGGTGTCGTTCTGTTTCTTGAGGAACGCCAATGTGCCCAGGCAACGGAGCCGGCCATCGCTTATGATGGCAATGCGATCAGCCAATACCTCGCCCTCGTCCATTTGGTGGGTGGTGAGGAGAATGGTGCGTCCCTGCTTTTCATCCAGCAAGAGCTTCCATAGTTCGAGCCGGGAGTAGGGATCCAGACCCGAACTGGGCTCGTCGCAGAACAGAACCTTGACGTTGCCGCACAGGGCACAGGCCAGGGCGAGCCGACGCTGTGTCCCCCCAGACAGAAGCCGGGCAGGGGTTTTGGCCTTTTCCGTAAGGCTAAGTTTCCGTAAGTATGAATTCACCTCCTGTTTGACCGCTGCCCCCTTGAGGCCCCTGAGGCGGCTGTATAACCGAAGGTGACTGGCCGCACTTAAACCATTAAAGAAGACGCTTCTCTGCGGGCAAATACTCAAGGACTGACGGGCCTGGGGCCGTTCGGTTTGTATGTCGTAGCCATTAATGACCGCTGTGCCGGAGCTGGGTGTAATGGTCCCCGTTAACATTTGTATGGTCGTGGTCTTGCCAGCTCCATTGTGTCCCAGGAGCACCATGATCTCATTCTCAAACAAATCGAATGTAAGGCCAGCAACCACCTGTCGTTTGCCAAAGCTTTTGCTGAGATTTTTGATTTGTACACCAGAGGTTTTGCCTTCCGCGTTGGCATCGATGAACTTGGAGGAACTTGGAACTGAGGAAGGTCGCTCCTCGTCGTTGGGTCTGACAGTGAACAGCCCGGGCGGGGATAATATTCGTCGCATGTATTTGGACGGGCACCAAAAGTGTTTGGTGCACGGGAAATTCCATGGCTGTGGCGTGCCAAACTCCCCTGGTCTTACCCGTTCCATGTACAGACAGATGAGGATCGAGATCAGGCTAGACAGCAGCATGATTAGTAGTATCGCACCCACGCTTATGCTGTCACCAAGCCATGATGTGTTAAACATATTGCTCCACTGCAAGCCCAGATATGCACGCTCCCATACGGCAATTCGGTCCATGACCATGTTCATGGCTGAAACAACGCAAATGCTGCACAGGATGTTCAACAGTGTCCCAGCACTATCCTTGTTCGTGACAAAATAGGGCAAAGAGCTGCCTATGAACAGAAGGATGGCAATGATGCTACACCAATTGCTGCGAGCGCAGAAGGAGCTGACCAGGAACCCGAAACATATGAAGGAGTGGCTGCACACAAGCAGATAAAACAGAAAGACCGACCAGTCGGTGTAACATAGAATGGGCTTGTTTTTAACAGGACCCATAGGGATCACCGTCCAAAAAATCGTTATAATCAGCGATATTATGAATAAAACTATCATGGACTTCACATACCAGGCCAGCCATTGTAGAGAGTGGCTCACGTCGAAGATATTCAACATATCCTTCAGCTGAAGCTCCTTTTCCTCGACAATGCTCTGCAAATAACAACGGTTAAAGAACAGCTTAGAAAACTCATTAAAGAACAACTCAGTCTTACCTTAACATCAATTGTGAAAGGCAATAAAAAGACAGCCATTAAAAATATAAAAAAATAGGAAATACATAACAAAATCTCATTTTCATATATTCCTTTGAGTTTTGGTCGATGTAAAGTTTGGGAAGAATTCTTTTTCTGTAGATAGTGAAAGCTGATTTCCGTCTGAATATGTAGAAACCCACTTTCACCGTAATATTCATCTACTTCATTCAGCGATATCAGAAGATTTGTATGAAAATGCTTTACTTTGGAGGCGCGAAACCGCAAAGCAAACCGAAAATTTTGCGGAAATTCGGATATATCGGCCCACTCGTCAGGAAACTCGATGCCGTACCCACCTCTGTACAAAACATTGTTGTTAAGAGCTTCTTCCAAGGCGCTGGCATCGACAAAGCCCTGAATATGATACTGATGTGAGCCAGGAAACGACAGCCCTCTAACAAGCAACTCCAAAATTTTATTTTGCGGCGAGAACAGAAAGATAATTCCACTGAGTGTGTAGAAATCAATGAACACAACATTCTATTTTTTTACTTGGTTAGAAGTTGTTTTTCGACTTACTCATCGAGTTTCGGCTTAAATTCTGCTGTTATTGTGCGTGTTGCCCGTATTAAAAAGGGCAACAGTGGAATTACTAAAGAAAATATTATTAAACAAGCCAACTGGCATTTGCGTCCAAAAAGCACACATAGATTTTTCCACAATATCAACAGAAGCTTCCTTTGGAAGGGCAAGACCTTCGGCACTTCCTCTTCATTCGCCATATTTTATATGCTCTATATCAATCTGTATGTACTGAAACACAGGCGGTGGTGTGGCTACCGTACCAAAAAAATATAGGTTTCACGTACAGTTTCATGGAATTATATTATACTAAGTCTGAAGTTAGGAATGATTTGTTTGGAAAAACTAACTAGATTTCCGCAAATGAAAGTCGTACTAGCATGTAGATTGTGTTTTACGTATTGTGTTTTGTTGTCTGTGCTTTGTCTTACGTGAAGATAACGTATTTGGCAACACCCGCCGTCGCAGTTACATCCGCGAATATTACTCATGCCTTTACCACAATATGAAGTTCCCTGACTTCCATCATCGCATTCCATCCGTAAGCCGAAAACTACCGAATGTAAAAGTAAAGTACGTTGTACGGCCGGAACAATGAAGCTTCGGCTTTATGTATCGTTTACATCTTTCGTCGCAGTGTCCGAGTGTGGTCAGTCCGTGAAATTGATTTGTTGAGTAAAGCAAACTATAAATTTAAAAAACTTTGTTTCTTTGAAGAACGAGAAGCAAGTTTTTAGACGCGGTAAGGGTAGTGGATCTACATACTTTTATACCCGGTATTAAGTCAGTATATATGTATAAATATGAGCTTATGATTTATGTAACCCATAAAATATACTTTATCGGTAATGATACGTAAGCGTTGGAATCGCAGTGGATGAATGCCGATAAATGTCTTTTATCGGAATTGATTTTTTGTTTAATGCGGGTGGATGTGGTCCGCATATCTGTCTTTCCCGCACTTGTCTTAAAATTTCGACCACTATTTATGCTCTACTGTTAATGACTTCTAATGACCTACGTATTGTCTGCTACTGTTTTTCGCTATATACTCGTATGTCTTTCCTTTTCTCTTTTTACAGCAACATCAGCCGTTATATCACAGTTCCCTCCTTTCCGTAGCCACTGAAGATTTATTTGTTCTTTCTGGATACAATAATGATCCGATCTGATCCAGATTCGGCAATCTAGTAGATATGGTCATGCTGATATGGACGCTGCGTTTTCGGGTATAAGTATACTGATATTAATAAAAAGAGCTTCGTAAGGACTTTGTTTATTTCCTTACCATATCATGTGGATACATAAGAAAATACATAGACACAAAGAACATTATGGCATGGACATAAACCGAAATGGCACAATACACAAACTCATGTGGCGGCATATAGTAGCGTCTGCCATGAACGATCTCTGCATTGTACACGGATGCGGGTACTAGTATCGCACACAACAACGAAAAGTATATAGAATGATATACAGGACTATCAAAGGCTATGTACAGCCAAGTCACAATGATGCTTGACACCGAGAAAGCGATCAGGCATATGCACATCGTGAACTCTCCGGGCAGTAGGGACATTGGCACCCAGGCGCCCAGCGAGTAGCAAAACACGAGCAGCGTCAAGGAGACAATAAGTGTCAGGTTAACGGTCGTCAGGGTAAGCTTTACCAGAAGCAGGCTCACACCCATCGCGGTCAGCACCACGAATATCGATGCCAGGGTCCAACTGAACCAGAAGTTCTTCCGCAGCCGCACAAAAATGCTTAGCACGAAGAGCGTAAGAAAGGCCACCAGCAGGCAGAGAAATCCGGCCAACACATAGTTGACATTCGGCGTTAGCGTTAGCGACATGATCATCCACTGCCAGGATGCGACGGCCACCATCATCCCAGCCGACATATAGCATCGTCGCATAAACAACTCCACTCGTCTCCCTGGATCATCGTCAGCTGCCGCGGACACAGACCCAGGCGCTGCAAAAGAAGTCTGTCTGAATTCGACTGACCCAATGGACTGTGACTGTGATTGGTTGTTCCGCTGGCCTTGCTCTTCAGTCTCCGCCTGTCGGCAATTCCAGAAATTCTGACGCGTCTGTGGCACTGGCTGTGGGAAGTGGTGCAGGTGGTGGAGGCCAGGCCTCAAGGCCACCCAATAGCGTCTGGAATAGATCGGAATGGATTGACGCATTTTCGATAGGGCGTAAGAGCAACACACAAAATTTTGACACTTAAAGCAGAGTCCTCCCCCGTGACGTTATCCGAATGGAATTGAAAGTTTTTCGATATTACCAGAAAATGCTGCTGCAATTGATATCTGGTTTCATATCATTTAAATAATTGAATCTAATCGATGAATTTGAATTTTTTCGGTGTTTTAAGTGTTTAATGCACCTAGAGCTGTTCAAATCGATCTCTCAAAGGTAGAAAACCCATCCAAACGATGCATTTAGATTTTAAGACTTTCGAAACAAAAAAAAAATTATAATAATAATAATAGAAAGTTATTAAAATGCTGGTAAAAATAAGAATTTTTTCATTTCAAAAGCTCTTTAGAAAGACAAAGAAAGCAAAAGACACTGGCTATATCTCTATTTACATATACTTAATTCCCGATCTGTAAACTTTCCCGCTGGTCGCCAGCACAAATATTTGTGAAAAGTTGAGCCCCATTGTCCGTGCGGGCTGGCCTGGCCGCGCGGAAAATTCATCGAGGCATGCGAAAATCGAGGCCACGGACAAAAGAAGGAATGGAAAAACGGAAAATGCTAAGTAGCCTGCGCGATCAAAGCCAACAGAAAACGGAAGCCACAAAGGATGCTGCTGCTGCTGCTTACTCCTTTAGCTTCCCTCCCTTCCCAGATATTGTTTGTTGTTGTTTGGTAGATCGCTTGAGTGACACGCAAAGGATACAAAGATATACAGCAGAGAAAAAGAGGCATCTCTGAGATACATTTACACAGACGCATCTGCGGCCACGATCAAGACGACCCCGACGATCCCGATCCCGATCCCTATCCCGATCACTTTCACAGGCAGTGGCACGGCATTGTTCGTGTAAATGACTCAATCTCAATCAGCTGGCTACGTTTATCCCTGGATCCTGGCTAAAGACATGCAAATGGGCTCGTAAGGCAGCTGTCCCCTGAATGCAATAGATATGGTAACTTCTTTCCGATGCTAACCCCTTGAGTTGCCAATTAAATTGTTAACATTTTTTCATACCACTCCTCAGATTGCTCTTGATTGGATTATTGATCTGATTGAGGCATCCTTGAGCTTAATATAGGGATATACAAATATAAATATACAATATATGCGGATATGTGATGCTTCAGGTCATTGCACTTGCACATTAAGTGGATTTTGTATACCCCTTTGCTAAAAAAGGAGGGTTTATATGGATTTCGTGCAAAGCATCCATAATTTCCTTGAGGGAATGTCCGTTTTTATGTTTGTTTATCTGAATATCTGAATCTTAGAGACTGGGAGCTTAAACATAGATCCAAATTTTTAGGTTACAGAACACCAATCTATGCCATTCTATATCTATATATTATTCTAAATCCAATTAAAATCGGATCGATGCTCGTATTAGGTGGCATATTGTGTTCGAAATATCATCTATAGAATTTTAGAATCTTATAGAATTTGTACAATGTCGATAAAGGGCCGTCGCCCCGAAAGAGGAGGAGGAAAGTGAAAGCGTCAGGGAAGTGCCCGACAACGACATGCAACCGAATGCAGTGGAGCAGGCACGGAACACACACACAAAGATGACACACATGCCACAAAACTAACGGCAGTGACCACCTCACCCTCACCTCGCCTCTCTCCACTTCCCACCATTCATTCATCCACTGGCAAGCAGGCCCTAACTCTATTTCGGAATTTTGCATGCCGCAAAAAGCACAAGCCAAAATGCTTACAGAAGCGTAACGAACGAGAACAGAGAACTGAACCCCGAGATACTCTGCTGACTGGAGGAGGAGGAGTAGGGGCAGCACGGCATCCCACTGTCATCCGTGGGTCAGTGGAGAAGACAGACAGACATACAGACAGACGGACAGACCGACAGACAGACATACAGGCGTACAGGTTGTCTCATTCTACGTGCTTTTGGGTACGATTTATAATATTCTATTAGTTCCACGACCCGAGAACCGAGAGCGGAGCCCAGCCCCGGCACTGGTATGGCACTAGCACGGCACTGGCACTGGCTGACTGAATGTTGTGTGTGGCAGCGCAGTTAGCGCAGATAATACATCCGTTTCCGGTTAAGCCCATATTTTTGTGTCATTTAGTGTATGTATGTGGGGATAGGGATTGTTGGGAGGGAGCGTAGGCAAGTGCCGAGACAACATGTGGGAGTGGAACAGACAGCTACAGATGCTGATGGCTAGACGCAGACACAGGCACAGGCCCTGGGCACTGGCAGAGGGTTCACAATGCCTCTGACATGACGGGCTAACGAGGGAGGCATGGGTGGGGTGGGGCTTGTGCCGGAGACGGTGCCGGTACTAGGGACTGTGGACTGGGAGCCGGGGGTGGGGTATGCCTGCCATCAAGTGATGCGACAAGTGCAGTAGACACTGGAGCGGAATCGTCAACGCTTCCGCATATTTCTCATTTCCACAATTAAACATTGTAGAGAGCTGCTCCAAGGGTTGCAACCCCTCCAATCCCTGTATAGGGGGTGGCTTCTTAGATAAATCAAAGCTCAAGCAATTAATAATGCAATTTTCGGGGGCTACCACAGAGCGGCGGCAGGGAGGGTTGGCTGCATTTACTCCAACCATAACGGAAGCTCAAATGGAGCTTGTATCTTTCGGGGAGGGGAAAGTCGTGTAATTATGTCCAACTCCGAACAAAAACGGAAGTTGTGCATGACTTTCTCTGGGCATTTCCCTTATCTCTGACATGATGCAAGGGGGCCTGCTGCCTGTTAATGTACCAGCCCCTGGGCATATATCCCCTCAGCTGTACCCTATTATTTATGAGTTATTGTATAACACCTTCTGATTCGGCGACTTGTGCTTCTGTTTCCTAGATCGTCACCCGACAAAGAAAAGATCCATATATCCAAACTCTCCGTTTAAATAAATGAACAATCGAAGAAACAGCTGTTTAAATACAGACACACCCACTGTACTTTGCATATGTCTTTCTAAAAATAAAAATTTTAATCAAAAAAATTGTTTACAACGCGTGGAAAGATGCCGAGTATATGCCACCTGCTGCTGCCGTGTGTAAATGGGAAAGGAAATGCATTCAAAACTCTATCCAAAAAATTCCAACCGATTTTTACTTTATTCCCAAAGCTTTTGGTTGTGGACACATATACATATAGAGGGCTACGCCTGTTCTAATTACTGCCATATAATATTTAACAATATACAACGCCTTACTACTTAACTATTTCCCACCCAGCGACCCGAACTGCCCGACACAGCGTTACTAATTATTGTACATACTCGTACATTTGTGCTATAATGTTAATTTGTTACAATTTCCGGAATTTCGCTAATTTATTTATTCAAACATTTTTTATTAGTGGCATAAATTTGCATGCCACCTGTCGCCGTGGGGGAGCGAGCCCAGCTTCCTCTTCAATTGTTGAATATATCAACTTTTGGTGGCAATAAATTAGCATTTTTTTATAGCACGGCATAGCAAACTCTCTCTCGCAGAGTTGCTTACAAGATTTAATCTATCTCTTTACCGCCAGGTCGTTATGTGTCTTGTTTGTCCATGTCAGAAAAATAAATATTGTTCTTGGTATAAAAACTTATTAAAAATTGATGACTTAATATGGTTTCAAAGGAGCCAGCAACCTATTATCCATTTTGCATTATCTCGATCTAAATATTCCATTTACAGGTCAATTACTATCACTTTCCTATGAGATCCCCACACTGACCCACTGAAGGCCCACACACAAAATCGCACCAGAGGCACAGATGATCTATGGTATTATTGTGGAGACCGTCTTTTGTTCGTTCGGTTCGGTTTGGTCTCTGGGTGACTGATATTTTTCGTGGGTGTTTGAATTAATGAACAGTTTATCGGCTTATGGGCAAACTTTTTGCAACTCGTCTAAGAGGAGAGCCATAGAACGGGGACATGCCTTGAATTTTTGATTGATTTTTCGAGTTATTAATATTTATTTTTTTTATGGCATTTCAAAATGTTGAAATAAACACGTTGTATTGCCGCTGTTAATGGCCGCATAAATTGTTGTCGGATTGGAGGATATTGGTAATAAATATATGTATATATGTTTTGATTCCCTCCACCTTTTCCCCCACCGTTTGTTTATTCGTCATAACACATTTGTCGCTATTTGTCCCGCACGTGCCAGCACAATTTCGGGACGGGCCCAGAGACGACGGTATAATGCGTGCATTAGTGTGTCCATTAATCGAAAACTACAAAAAATAGCTTAAAGGTTAAAAGCTTCGTCCCGACGATGGTGCACAGGCAGACCCCATAACACACAATATTGTATCCTTGGCAGTTTGCCATGTCGTGAAAATGCGCAAGGAAATGCCATGCCACAGGCTATCCATCCAGCAGTCCGTCCCTTTTTCTGTCCCAGCTGTGGCGTGAATATGACATTGATGGTCCCCCGGAAAGGGGTCTATGAGATTCTAAATTGTTTGCTTTTAGTTGCATTATTTCCTCACACGTGACCTGGTGACTGGAGGGGGCTAAATTATTGTGGCAGACTCATTAAGTGTTCGGAATATTTCTTGCCGTATATTTTAAGAAATTGTTCTATAATTTCTTTCAAATTGGTTTCCGCACTTTATGAAACTTAATGTATGCCACTGTTCCGCTCTTTGTTTTTTCTCTTTCACCTTTATACCCATTTGCTGCTAAGCTACTCTGTGAAAGAAAGTGGGAGTTGCTCCCCATAGAACTCTAACTAGCTTTGAACTCCCGCATCGATCCTCCATCCCTTCCAGTACAGTCGTACTGGATCGGTAGTCAATAATTGTGTGGACTAGGCGGCCTGCATGGCTGGCCATGGTTCATTAGAACCCAGAAGGCAAACCAAACAAAGCTGAAGCCGAGGCCCAAGCAGAAGAAGAGTTTCCTGAGTTCCAGCTACTCATAAAAATTTAGCGGCAAAGCGCCAAAAAAACAAAAAAAAAACCTAAAAATCCAAGTTGAACGAAGCGTACAAAATCATTTCCGACTAAAACTGAACGAAACGGACATGCCACA